GACCGTCTCTCTGAGTTCCCAGACTTAAACTCTTAACAGGAGGAAAAGCCTACACTCACTACACTCCCAAGCTAGTCCTACTAATACAATAAGTTCTCTTCTTCTCTCGTGGTCAATAAACCAGAACAAAATATAACGGAAAGCAAAAAAACCCCAACTGATTAATAATATTCCAATTAATGACCATCTGAATGAGCATAGGCCATGGACAGATTAAAAAGATTTTAAAAGTCAAGTATTCAATGTTTATTCACTGTGTAATCAAAACAAATGCTATAATTCAGTGGTATTTCCCAAACATTTCTGAATTTCCAATTTCCAGTTGTCTCTATCTGACCAAGAGTAGGAATGATAGACCCCATGACAGTCAGAGAAAGGCAAAAGAGAGTAAGTTAGTATGTATATATAACTATGATTATTTATATAAGTCTTTAATCAAATAATTATCAAATACTTGATGTTTTGATCAAAGTGGTTACCATCTTTGAGGGCATAAACTGTAACTTTATTCCAGAGTTTAATGATGATTTACTTTTTTAGATTCTTGGAAAACTTATGTTTAATTTTATTGAGAGTCCTACTTGAAAAACTAAACCAGCTGCCATTAAGTTATTTTGACTCCCGCGTGATCTCAGGTATTTCAGCAGAACTGCACTCCGCGGAGTTTTCAATGGCTGTGATCTTTCACAAAGCAGCCCTGGTGGCCAGGTTAATGGGCAAGTACCAGGAAGTAGAAGCTCAGAGAACTTGTCCACATTCTTTGTTGAACATAGCTAGAAGGCGCCCTTTAGTGTAGTGGTTACACACTGCGCTGGGAACAGCGGTGGTGTCAGTTCAAAACCACCAGTGGCTCTGCAGGAGAAAGACTGGGCTTTCTATTCCCGTAAAGAGTTGCGGTCTCAAAACCCTCAGACAGTCACTGAGTCACTATAACTCGATGGGTGGCAGTGAGAACATGGATAAGAGTTCCTTGTGAAGAATACAAATGGCACTAAATAATTATGAATGTCATTGGAATGAGATGCACTATCATAAAAAGTAACAGCGTAATATAATTGAGCAGAAACAGGGACTACTGCACAGTGCAGGGTGCTGACTGAGTTGTACTGAGAAGTTTCCAGTCCCTGTCCCGATTCCAGTGCCGGGCGAAGGCCGAGTCACAGTTAATGGGCAAGGGTGGTTTTTTCAGGGATTTTATTCCTCTAATGTGTTAACTTTGCTATGTGTTTTTGATACAAATGAAGCAGGGGAGGCGAGGCTGTAAGCTCAAATCAGTCTTAGAAGAAGAAATGCAACCAGTATGTGTCTCAGAAACATGGAGGGCAAGACATCAGCTCACTTACTTTCGACATACGATCTGAAAAAATCAATTACCAGAAAAAGACATATTTGGTAGAGGATCATAAAAAACAGAGTGATATGGACTTACACAATAATATCAAGAATGAAATCCTACATACCAATAATCGTGAAGAGAACACAGGACCAGGCGACTATACATCGTGCTGCTATCCGGAGGCCACCACGAGTCAGAGCTGACTTGGTAGCACTGATAGCAACGTTGACTTCTCAGGAATTAGCTAGGTCTCAGGTGACATTTAATTTGAATATGAAGCAAGTGACACCCTATGAAATGCCACGTGGACAAAACAGTAGCAAGCAATGCTACTCCAGGGAATTCATGGCTCCAAATGTGTGTCAGTCTGGGTACTTTAGAGAAACCAATCCACAGAAACTCTTATGTGTAAGAGAGAGTTTTATATAAAGGGTAAGGGCACATCAAGGAAACATCCCAACCCAGTGCTGCCCAAGCCCACGAGTCCAACATTAACCCATTTGTCCGACACCAA